TGAGTTATGGTATAACACTACATACCATCGGGCTATTCAGATGTCACCGTTCGAGGCCTTGTACGGGCTTCCCCACCGTCCCAGGTACGGTACAGGCTTGGCGCCGGCTCCGTGGATGCGGTGGATAGATGGTTGGGGGCGAGAGATGATGCGCTGGAGTAGCTGCGCAGTACGTTGGCGGCGGCCAACAACCGGATGAAGCAGATGGAGGATGCTGGTCGAAGGGAAGAAGAGTTTGAGGTGGGTGGCTGGGTACTACTGAGATTGCATCCCTATCGGCAGGCCTTAGTCTTCCGCCGTGCATACCAAAAGCTGGTTGCGCGCTATTTCGGCCCTTATGAGATTTTGCAGAAGGTAAACCCGGCGGCATACCGTCTGGAGCTACCGGAGGAGTCCCGCATTCATCCGACCTTCCACGTTTCCTTGTTGAAACGTTACCGAGGAGCAACAGATAGAGTCGAGACGACTGTCCCTCCGGTCAGTGCGGATGGAGACCTCGAGCTCGAACCACTGAGGGTTCTTGAGACGAGGTGGACGAAGAAAAAGGGTCGACTGGTGGAGGAGAGCTTGGTGCTTTGGAAGCATTTGGAGCCGGAGGATGCGACATGGGAGGAGACCGGAGAGTTGCAGCAGAAGTTTCCGAACTTCGACCTTGAGGGCAAGGTGGGGTTTGAAGAGGGGGAGGATGTTAGAAACCGGCGGGTTGGGCCGGTAGGGTGAAGGGTGGCAGTTTCGTTATTTTCATTATTTTTGTTTAGTATTTAAGAGGAGAAAACATTGTTCTGCAGATTAGTCAATAATCAATATTACAACCTAAATCCCTAAATTCCCAATTCTCTCTATCTCTTGTTCTTCCCCAATCTCTCTCAAATCCCTAATTTCTTCTCTTCTCAATACCTAATTGGAACTTCTTTGTTTCTAACGACTCGAGTTATTGGGAGCAACTGGTTCTTGACATGCTGGAGGGTACATTTCTTGTTAGGTGTTTAGGCTTACCTCTGATTTTGGAAAAATTGTATAGAAAGGAGGGGGCATGGCTTGAAAGACTTATTTACTTGGAATCTTGCATGTATAACACATATGCTCTAGTTGTTATTCATGCATCAAGGGAGTTTTTGAGTAGCGTGGATTGTGACGTATCGACTGAGCGGTCAGGCTATTTGTGATCTTCAAGGCATCATTGCAGGGTCTTGAATTTAGACACAAATGTTGAAACTCATATCCTGGTTCCAATTATTGCTTGAAGCAAATATGAGAATCAATTCAAATCCGACGACCAATTATTGCTTGGTGGAAAGTGTTACGGGGTAAATCTACTATCGCTAAGCATCACTTCCTTGATTAGCATGTCACTATATATAAACGTGAAGTGAGGTTACTGTTGCCAAAATACCTATATTTTGATACCTCAAATTTAATTAAATTACAACTTAGTCATTACAATGTATATTCTACATTTTGATACCCCAAATTTAATTTTAAAGTAAAATCATTGAACAATTATGTTTTAGTATCTAAACTTTATGAGATTTTCATACCTACAATTTTTAAAATTTACATATTGGTCCAATGTTTACATTTCACTTGAATCCATAAATCCAATCCACCGTAACATAAAATTATAAATTTAGTTTGTACCATACAAGATGTTGTATCACTCAACTGTAGAAGAAGATTCGACCATTTTGGTCCTTGATGAGATTTTTACTTCAAATAAACATGTATGATATCCATTTGAAATAATAACGATCATTTTTAAAAGAGCATTCTATTCGATGATGTGACAACATATTTAGTAAAATATAATACAAGTACATTAAGATATTGATCTGTACGAAGTTTTTTGTATGACATTTTAATAGAACAATGTTTAAAAAAATCAACAGTAATAATAATCATAACACTTTATGTATTTCTTTCATTGCCTTCTTCGTCTAACCATAATTAGTAATTGAACCATGAACCATTAACGCTTTCAGCTCAATGTCGAGTCCAATTAAAAATAAAGATATATGACTATTACTTATTAGAAAGTCATCATTGTCCACTATGGGATTTGAAGGCTTGAAATTTTTAGCGAGTTCCCGTTTGTATTCATTTTGCTTCTCTATAGAGTTTTTCTTTTTCACCAGGGCTAGATTTTCAACAATTATATGTTTGACTAGGTACCTACACATATCAAATAAATAGTTTCCATTTTTCTAAAAAAATTAAATAATTATCATCTTAAATACATCACCATAAAAGGAATTAAGCCTCAACTATGCAAATTATAGTTCGGTACATAAACTTAATAGATCTTAGATTTATAGCCTAAATTTATTTTTTTAACATACAAGTCCTCAAAAATCAAAATATTGATGGAACAATACATTTTAGTACCTACTTTTTTTTACTACATTTTGGTACCTAAAATTTTGAAGTTCTACAAATAAATCTAATTTTTGTATGTGTAATTAAAACACCTTCAAATAAATGGGTATCCACACCAAACTCATACACATTTAGATTATGGAAGCAAATATCCATACCCTATCCAATCTCATCTACAACTTCCAAACTCATATATAAGTCACCCATACCCTACCCATAATCAATGGGTCTACTTAGGTTTAGGTAAATATAGTTTATTAGCCCAAAATTTCAAAATATTTGAAATTGGATGTTGACTGTCATATATCTTTTCTTATTCAATATCATATTGTCAAGTCAATATTATTAACAAAACTGCTAACAAAAAATTAATTTTAGGATAATAATACTAAGAAAACAACATAACGGGTCACATAATACATACCGATAGGCCATCTCCTCCCGCGACAAGGCGCGACGTCGCCACCTAGTTACTGTATATAACCTAAAACATAATTACTGTTCACTAACAATTACCTTATCCCTTACCATGTGGAGAGTTATGTGTGCGAGAGGAAGAAGAGATGCCTACCATCTCGGCTCCCAAAGAAAAGAAAAAAGGCAGAATGATGTTTGACATGTAAAGGGCCAATAAAAGGGTGGGTAGCAAATAAATTAGTCTGTTCTTGTGAGTTATAGCATTAGAGATTTTCATGTTGGATTATTAGAATTTAAGTAAGAAATATTATTTTGTACAATGCCATAGGTTATTATTTAAATATATTAGACGAGATTTATATAATTTATGTATGCATAATATAATGACATTTTTCATATATTCGGATTAAATCGAGCTAAACAGATCGATTTATTAACTCTTGACCCACTAAGTCAGACCAAGTCAAGAGGTTAAACCAGGTTGACAACCTTAATTAAGTATTATTACCCATATAAAAAGAATAATCAAATTATTTAACTAAAGTCACAAAATCAACACTAAATCATATTCATAAAAAAATCACTCCTCCCACTTTCCCCTCCCAACCCATTGCTCCCACCCAATTTTCCCACCCAACCATAATGGATGGTCTGAAAATATGATTTATGATGACTAAAAGTAGGAGAAATATAATTAAATATTAAGATCAATCAAGGTAAAGCGGGGCAAGAGCAGACGAGACAGGACGACGCAGGACGAAAGTAGTCACATGCCCACCCGATATTATTGAGTGCCCCAACATGAATCAACTCAGGTAATACCCGACAATGCGAGTTCAAAATGCCATCACTACTATCAATTTTATTATAGCTTTAGAATTTTTTTTGACAACACATCATGTCAATAAGGCTACCTCTAATTTGTTGTAACTTGTAATTGTTTTGAAAATTAAAATTTTTTTTTTATTTTGATATATAACACAACATGTGATGTGCTATATACTAAAAATGATTTTTCAAATTGTCAATAAAATACAAAGATTATTATTAATTGAAAATAATATATCTTTGGCTATATTAGAGGTAGCCTTTTTCAAATGTCAATAAAATACAAAGATTATTATTAATCAAAAATAATATATCTTTGGCTAAATTAGAGATAGCCGTAAGATTTGAGAAATAAGTAGGTTAAGATAAAACGAGACAAAATAACTATTGAATTTGAATCAAGATAGGTGTGATCTAAATAGGTAATCACTTATTTATTTATATTGTCTTAGTTATAGAGTGATGTTTCTTGGTAGAAATTGTCGCTATTAATATTGACATAATATTTGCCCACATTTTTTTTATATATTTATAGCAAATCAAATGATATTCACATGTGTATCTATTTTACATAAATCCACTAACCACTAACCAATATTTTTATGAAATTCCAGTGTTTGATATGGAGTTCAAATGTTTCATCGGTATAAAATAAAACTCTTCATCATTACAATATGAAAATAGAGTTACATGAATTTCATTTTTGCATAAATTGTGACATATGTAAGTTCACCGTTTATTATATTCCATTCTAAATAAGCTAATTTTTTCTATCATTTCTCAAGCTAATTTACCACAATTAAAAGACAATTTCTACATCGTAACTTCACAAAACCAAATCAACGGCCATGAAAACCCGAATACTAAAATAAACGAGTTAAATATTCGCAACAAAGTGCGACAAGCCATCTAGTGTTATTTTAAACAGATTCCCTACGCGAAATAAGCTTAAAGCATGAGGCAAAATCACTGATGAAACTTGTGTTTTGTGTATGTGGAAGGCGAGTCACTTTTGTTGTGAGTACTCTGCGCAGTTGGTTGCTGTTGTATTTGACAGTCCAGTTCAAGTATAACCAGAGTGATGGGAGCATATGTTGGCTATGGTGATTGGTGAGTGATATGGCAAAACCCTGGGGTGCCTATGGTCGTGTGTTATGTGCATATGGTGCTGGATTGTTGGGGTGTTATGAATGAAATAATAGACGCGTTTTTTTTTTGACAAATAATAATAGACGGGTTGCAAACCTCAAATAAGTTCTAAAACCATTTTGTTTGAATTGGGAAAAGGAAAATTTCAACAATTGAAACAACTTGTGTCCGGATCAATGGTGTCAAACTCGAGATTTTATATAAAATCAAACACTGGAATAAAATAAAAAATCACAAAATCTTGGAATTTATTATATTTAAAATGATAACTTCTCGAGATAATTGTACCAAATCAGTATAATCCAACATACAACAAATCAGCCAAAATGTAATCTATATTTCCAAAACACGATTTTATGATAAAATAACCGGGTTAATTGCATGATTGGTCACTGAGATTATAAAAAACGTTCAAGTTTGGTCACTCGAAATATTTAAATCTATTGGTGGTACTTCAGTTTACTGAAACCGTTCACGTTTGGTCACTCTTCGTCCAACTCTGTTAACTTTTGCTTACATGGCGGTCAACTCTAAAAGTTGACCGTTAAATATGTGACGTGACAATTTAAAAATAATAATTTTAATAAAATTAATTTTTCATATTATTTCTAATTATTAAAAATAAAATTATAAACTATTAAAATGAAGAACTATTAAAATTTACACCTCAAATATTTTCTTAAATGAAATTTGTTTTGGCTCTGGCCTCCTCCTGGGCGGCGGGGTGACGTTGTCGTCATTGAGAATGAGTGGGGCGTCGTTGTCGTCTTCGGCGTCGTCGTCGTCGTCGATGGTGGCGATCCGGATGCAAGAGCAGCTATCCAAGGAAGCGAAGAAGGCTGCGGCGACGCCGTTGACGAGCCACATGGCAACGCCGTCGAGCTTGCTGCAAGAGGTGGCGGGGGAATGGTGGCGGACTCCTCTGCTGTTGGAGCGGAAGTTGAAGAAGCCGACGCAGGAGGAGCTGTTGTTAAGGTTGAGGAAGGAGGTTCTCATCGCTGCCATTTGGGGGATTGGAGATCCCGAGCGAGCTGGGAAAGATCATGAAGAGGGAAAGAGAGGGAGAGGCCAGAGGGTTTGTTCGTTTGGGGTTTTGTAGAGAAAGGAAGGAAGGAAGAGAGAGGGAGGTGGTGGATGGATTCTACTCACTCCAATACTGCTATCGGTTTGCAGGTTCACTCATCGCCGATTCAAGAGGATTCCCCTTTTTTATTAATTTTAATAGTTTATAATGTCATTTTTAATAGTTGGAAATGAGATGTAAATTATTTAAAAAATAAATTTTTATTAAAATTATTATTATTAAATTGTCACGTCACATATTTAATGGTCAACTTTTAAAGTTGACTGCCACATAAGCAAATGTTAACGGAGTTGGACGGAGAGTGACCAAACGTGAACGGTTTCAGGAAACTTAAGTATCACCAACAGATTTAAATATTTCGAGTGACCAAATTTAAACGTTTTTCGTAATTTTAGTGACCAACCATGCAATTAACCCTAAAATAACCTTTACGCTAACTTTTTCGGTACCCAATATAGGAGGGGCAAACTGGCGGGAGAAACGGAGAGATGATGGCCCGCCCACTGAGGCCCAAATATTTCTAAACGAAAAATGAAAAGGATACAAGTCTTGGCCCGCCAAATCTTTGGACCCGTTGTTATCCAAGTTACACCAGCGGAAACCCAAACTGTAGAACGCAAAACTTTGCTCCGAGGTTTTCGTCTTCGATTCAACGACAGAACAATTTTTTTTTTATTGTAAGAACGACAGAACAATTGAGCAAGCGTACCAATAGAATTCCACACACATTTTGCCAGCAACTGAGAATCATTCCTTCCATCTTCAAGAATCTACCCCTTTTCCACATCCTTCCTCCCACACACTTATATTTTGTCGGTCTCTCTCAGATCCTCAATCCTCAGAAAACTCGTGCAACCTCCTGTTCTCTCTCTCTCTCTCTCTCTCTCTCTCTCTCTCTCTCTATCCAACAGCTCTCCCACCGGCAGAAATCAATTTCCTCTCACAATCATGGCGGAAATGGATTCATCATCACCCTACTCGTTTGCCGATTTCCCAGAGGACGTCCAGCTCTGCATCCTGTCGTTCCTCAACCCTATCGAGATCGCCAATTTCGCTTGCACATCGAAGCGGTTCGGCCCCCTTTGCCAGACCGACAGCAAGCTCTGGTACGCTCTCTGCGACAGGCGGTGGGGTTCCAAGACCCAGATCGGGAAGTGGGGGGAAGGCAAGATCTCGTACAAGTTGCTGTACAAGACGCTGAACAAATGGGAGAATTTGATTGGCTTCTGGCGCCGCTGTGGTCAGAGTCAGCAGAAAGTTAACCCCGCCGCCGCATCCGCCGGTGTGGCCAAGCCGCCGGGCCTCGTCTTCTTCGAGTGGGGCCCTTCGTTCCTCCGCGGGTCCAGAGTCTCTCCTTCTCAAAATGGTACGTATGGCGTGCTCAAGTCCCCGTTTCTCATCATGGGGATATCGGCGGAGGGTCAGATTGCCAATTACCTCGACCCTGAAGGGCATAATGGAGCTGATTGTGAATTGGGGTCACCCGAAACGGATTCGATCCATGTGAATGTGAATTTTATTGGGGATTTCCATTTTAGCGTGGAGGAAGATGAGAGCTTTGCAAACAGAAGGAGTTCAAATGGGGAGAATGCAAGAAGTGGAGGAGATGATAGCGGCGACGAAGTGGGAGGTAGTAATGGGTTCGAAAGTGGGTCTCCTCCGGCGAGCTTGCCCGAAATGGTGGAAATGTATCAGTACTATGCAAATAGGTCGAGTCCCGGTGCTGACCGGTCCTTGAGGAGGCAAAGGAAGAGGGGGAAGGAGAGGCAATTTAGGAAGAGGTGGGAGACCGAGCATTATTTGAAGATCGTTGATTGCTTCCCCACGCAGTCTCGCCCTTTGCAAGGGATATGGAAGGTTTGTTTTGCTTCATCCTTTTGTTCTTCTTGGTCTTTGGCGAGAATTTATGAAGCTTGAAAGTTGTTGAGTTTTGACGACTCTAGCTTAAGATCTCCAAGGGCATAGTCATAGATTGTTTTGTTGTAGTTAACTAGTTTGTGGGTTGACTTCTTACTTCTTAGTCACTTGAATATAGGAGGAATGTTTGGCACTACTTACTTTGATGAATGACAACAAACGAGCTAAATGGAGTCCGCTCCTGTATTACAAACAAATGTATCCTCTTTAACAGTTTTCTTACGAGCTGCACTCAGGTCGGCTTGATTGCTATCAAGTTGGTCCCTGCTTCTTACTTTCTCTCCTAGAAGTCCTGTGGAAACTAATGATGGTTACAGTATTCTGCTGGTATGGGTGTTTGGAGATGAATTTTATCTTGGTCGACTTAACCACTCTGTTTGTATCACTAAATTGGGGGATACGGGTTACTTATATTATACTGGAAGTTGGAGATGCTGAGCTTTTTGTGAGCTTTGATGCAAGTCTGTCATCATTCCTTCTCCTTCTCGCAGGGAATTTGTGATGAAATGAAGTTGGAATTCTATCTCGTGGAATATGATGGTGTTGGCATCTCCTGCAGAAGACTAGGGGACTTATCTGAACGTCTCTCTAGTTGTATGCCGGTTTTTTGGACATCCAATCCAACATTCATCGATTCTCCACTGTCGCCTGAGGAGCTGCATGTGTACGACAGTCGGATACATATCCGGCCACCTCCTGATGAAACTTACGTGGATGATGAGGTGGTCATGCGAGTCATGTACATCAACTCAAGTTTTGACCTGGTGATCCCAGGCCTGGAAGGAAATGCAGCAAATCCATGGCGAGTTGAGGGAAGGATTTGGCAGTACAAGAGTGGAGCTTTTGGGTTTGGCTTTCTTCGTGATAACTTTGTCGTGGATCTGAAACATATTGCCCAAAATGGTTGTCTTCTTGATATCATGGGGCCGCCTTGCAGTGATTGATGTAGCTACTTGTGGCCTTGTTGTACAAATAGATTTGTAGCTTTATGCCATAAGCTTCATGGCATTATGTATTTGTATTATGTCGTTTCTTGAACTAATAATCAGAATTGGTATCATAATGCTATATCAATTGACAATTTGTTTTTACCTCAAGCATCCAAATATGTATACTGTGCTCCATATGAAGTGGTTGTCTAAATTTGAACCATTATTCTCTATGATCTTGATTGTTCATTAAGGTTACAGGATCAAAGTTACGTCCAAGTGTTGTTTGTCAGTGTACAACCAATAAGTTGGAGGTTTGTGTGCATATTCCACGGGGTTGTTATCATTTTTATTTTTTAACCAAGATTTTTTAAGGAAGTATTGATTGTCATTCGTCATATGACCCTGCAGGTTTTTTCATTGCTCAATCACTGCTAGTTGCTTCGGAGTCTCCCAAAACAGGCAAGACAACGGGCTGTTACCCTTTTCAACTAGTTCAAACGTCAGAACGTTTCTTACCATTTCTTATTGCTGTTAGTTTTGAATGATAGAAACAGAGGAATGTATTAGAGGAAAGCTGATTTTTTTGACTTCTAAGGAAAAGTGCGCCTCGTGGGAGCATTTAGATTGTGCTCTTAGTTTCATCTTTGTTTACTTACAAGTGAGCTCGTGAATCTCTAAGAACTTCAAACCTGTGAAATTGCAGTATAGTTTGTTCTGCCAATCAACCTCCATTAGTGGTATATTTGTTGTTTCAACAGTACAGCTGATCATGTCCAATGCATAGTAGATAGTCACATTATGAACATTGCCAAATTGCAAACTTCTCACCACATACACCACCATACCATAGCGAAAATCACAAATGAAAGGCCACTCAAGCCCATGAGAAACACTCAAGAGTCTTATGTAATTTGGAAGCAGAAAATCTTTCGCACTGCAGGGAATTTGTAGTAATTCATAAGAGGCAGAATATCAAATTGGAAAAGTTCAAGAGTAAAAGCCGGAAGAAGTTCTATTGAACATATTTATGATTCAGCAGCGACTTCTGTTGCAATAGCCTTCTCAGTAGCAGGAACATGGTCAGGAGCATCTCCCTCAAGCTGGCTCAAATTGCCCTTTTCCTTGATGAGCTGATTATGATGGTGTTTGCAGTAGAGGCGGCCGTCATGTGCGATGTAGTTGGACAGGCTAATCACACAGCCTCCATGGATGCATTTGAAGCAGCTTTTGTGGTAAGGAGTTCCATTGACCGATACCTATTTTGACAAAATTAAATGCAATAAACAATCTGTGTTAAGAATCATGCATCCTATTGTCATATTGTTAGTCTAACTGGATCATAACAGGTACTTATCGATTATCACCTTTTCAGTGGGATAGACAGTCTTCGTGCAGCCAAAACATTTCTCTCTAGTTCCACCAAACATGCTTGAGACTTTGGCTACTATAGGTTTCTGTTGTAAAACAGCTAAATGAATTATGAAGAACAGTAGTATGTGGTGGCAGGTTTTATTTAGTAAACAGTAATATGTGGTGTTGTTGGAGGTAAGTGCAAAGTCCTGGGGGGTCATTAGTCATTACCTCAGTGTCAATAGTTTTTTCTGGTTTTGCAATCTTGGGAGTTCCTGAAATGACAATTTGCAATGAAAATTGTCACTGAAAGTGAGGAAGAGAAAATGGAAAAACCCTGGAGTAACTTTTTGTGTTACTCACCATCAAAGCTTTTCTCAAGACTTCCAGTTCTTTTGAACAGCTGATCAAAGTGTGGCCTGCAGTAAAGCACCCCTTCAAAGGAATTGTAGTTACCAAGCTGCAAACAGATCTCCTAGTCATTAATAACCTCCAAACTGGGCAGAGAGCCCTTTAGCCGAACAAGGAAAGATCTAATCTTTGTGCAGAAAACAGGGTATGGATCTGATACTTATGTATCAACTATCTATTATACTTCAATGCAATAACAGAGACAATGCCTATAGCACATTGTTGAGAGGGCATAATCTGCAGTGCATGATATTTCACTGAAACAGCAAAAATTGAGTGCCTAGTATGCTATTATGGGCAAGCTTTCCCTATCACTTACCTTGAGTGTTCCTTTGCAGTGATGGCACCTGAAGCAGGCCTTGTGATAAATCCGGTTATCGGCAGTCAACTTGTCGACGAGATAAACAGTCTTGTCACAAGCCATACATTTCTGAGTTGTTCCTGCAAACGCCATAGCTTCTCAAGTTCTCTCTACCTCGCTGCCAAATGAACTAAAAGGCAGTTAGTTAGTTTGTGGTTGAAACTTCTGCTCTCGTCCTTTATGCTGCGTGAAGAAGGGAGAAAGAAGAGATAAGGAAAGAAGAATAAGGTAAGATATGAAAGAGAAATGTGGGTCTTGTGAAGCGTGAGAGAGTGAGAGACCAGGAAAAGCAGAAGGGGGAGAAGATGTATAATTGAAGTTAGTGGCAATTGGGCTATCATTTCGTCCAACTTTCAAGCACCCAACAACCGCTGTCTTGAGATATTTTCCATTTCTCCTTTTCTTTCCCCACATTCAAGTGTCTGTTTTTTTGCTGGTCACATTGCCATTCTGGTTCTGGTACATGGTAAAGCAGTAAACTTTATGTGAGTGTCCTGATTAGGATTGAATGTTATCACCTTCCCTTTTAAGCATTGCAGATGAAATTTCACATCTTATCGCAGGTTTGCTGTGAACTTGACGGTGAACTGGGAACCAACCATATATATGAGTAAGTTGAAAGCTTTCATGGACATCATTAGGTATCATCAAGACATTCAGATTGAAGTTATTTCCTTCAAACAAATTTTTTTTGTTGTTGCAGATGAGTTTGAAATTTAAATTCATATTCTCTGTATTAACGAACCTATACGAGGTCTGATTAGTTTGGTGTGAATGGAAAATGTTGATGTACATGGACCCCCTATATCGTGATAAGGTCTGTTTTAACATTTTGTTGAAGGTGAGAGCAGGCAGGGGGACCATGGGACCTTGTCTTTTGGGACAGTTAGTTATCCGTAATTGAGCAATGTGCTAATGCTACCTGTAATCTTATGTTCTAGTGGGATAATGGAACTGAGAAAGAGGTTGGAGGTAATGGAGTAGGAAATCCAAATATTTACGATAAGCTAGCAATTCCTGTCATTAGCATCAACTACATAGTTGCAAATAATGAAGGATGACAATATATAGAGGAGAGAGAGAGAGGGAGTGGGGGTGGTTTTTACAGCGATGAATGATGGTGGTGAGAAAAGGGTTCTGATTGCAGGTCACATGGGGATGAACATGATTACGTCCATGAGCCTAAAAGGAAGGGGAGAGAAACAATGGGGCATCCCTTTCCCTATTGCTTTTAGGGTTTTTGTTGAGTAAAACTTTGCATGAATTCTTCTCATCAAATGGGCGTTTGGTCTAGTGGTATGATTCTCGCTTTGGGTGCGAGAGGTCCCGAGTTCGATTCTCGGAACGCCCCCTTTTTTTCATTGTTTACTAAACCGGACCAAAACCGGCACGGTCTGCCCATCAGGCTTGAAATACAGGCCGGTATTGGTCCAACCGGCACGGCTGCTAAAATTAAAAAAAAATCCCGTCCAACACCACGGTGTCGTTTTTATGTCGGATAAAAAAAACAAAATCAAACCCTAATTCGTTTAACTCCAAACCATCGTCTCCACTCCAGCGGCCGCTCGCTCACGCATGTCGCATCATCCCCTCAGCTCCTTCTACTTGAACGCCGTTCCTGGGAAACCTTCCCTCCCCGTTGCTTTGCCCCGACCAGAGACAAGAAAGAAGAACAACAGCCGCCGCTCTTCCCTGCTTCAGTCGGTTCGGACGCCTACTCAAATCGAAGCCGGACGACCTTCCTTGCTTCGTCCGTCCACCGAGCGCCGGCGCGAGACGAAGGAGCTCGCTTTCTCGGTCTCGTTCCTCCGGCCGCCGAGCGACGACTGGAGTCCTTGTTCCTCCCGCCGAGCGCCGACGCACTGACGAAGACCTCCCTCCGCTGTCTCTATTCTCCCTTGCTTGCCTCCTCTCACCGCCGGCCTGCCTCCTTGCCTCAATAATCAACTGTGGTAATTACTGCCTCCCCTGTCTCCCCTGCCTCATCTGTTTTACTTGCTACAAACCATTAGTAATTGACTAATTGTCTCTTTGTTTTTATTGCTAATTTATTTGTTTGGCAGCCATGGCCAGTGGAGAAGGAAGTCAATCGGTTGAGCAACAACAAGCTTCTAATCAAACCATTAGCTTCTAATCCCCACCCTTTTTTTTTCATCCGGTATTCCATTTTTCTTCTACTTTCCACCGCCGAAACTCTGGAGACCGGCTTCCTTTCCTTCCCCATTTCCCCAGTCTACGTAGCCGACTGGTCGGACTTTCTTCCCTAAACCCCACCCAACTCAAAAACCCTAATCGTGTAAATTAACGGCAATAAACCCGTCGAGTCCCTCAGGAACACATTTCTCTGAGAAATTTTGGAGCTGAAAAGGGTTGAAGAATGGTGTTTGGTCAAGTGGTCATCGGTCCTCCTGGTTCCGGCAAGACCACTTACTGCAATGGCATGTCTCAGTTCCTTCGCCTCATTGGCAGGTAACTCACGGGCTCCCTTTCCCTTTTCTCCTTTCAATTTTGTTTTCACTCTCTGAGTCAACCACCGTTGTGCAGGAAGGTCGCAGTAATCAATTTGGATCCCGCCAATGATTCCTTGCCGTATCCTTCACTTTCGATTCTCTTTCTTCTTTGCTTTTCTGGGTTGGAATTGGGATTTTTCTTCTTCTTTGTCCTTGACGGTTGAATTCAGCTACGACTGTGCGGTCAATATCAAGGATCTCATTAAGCTAAGCGATGTAATGGCAGAACATTCTCTCGGCCCCAATGGAGGTATTTCCTTTACGTCTTACTAGTGCTTTGTTTTCTTTCTGTGGTAAATAAGTAGTAATGGTTGCTTGTGCTTGGGCAGGCCTTGTGTACTGCATGGACTTTCTGGAGAAGAACATTGACTGGCTCCAATCCAAGTTGCGACCTTTGCTAAAAGGTGCAGTAGTGTTTCTGGTTCTTTACAATATCATGCTGGTGGTACTGATTCAGAGATATTCTGATGAATTATAACTTCTTTGCAGACCACTACCTGCTTTTTGATTTCCCTGGGCAGGTGGAGTTGTTCTTCCTTCACGCGAACGCCAAGAATGTTATCATGAAGCTTATAAAGAAGTTGAACCTGAGGGTAATATAGTCATGGTTCTCAGAAGTTCAATTGTTCATGGCTTTTAGACGAGTTGGGATCCTAACTGGTTGGAAATGGATTTCTGGCTTCTGCTATCCTGTAGTTGACTGCTGTGCACCTAGTTGATGCCCATCTTTGTAGTGATGCTGGCAAGTATGTTAGTGGATTGCTTCTATCATTGTCAACCATGCTTCATCTGGAACTTCCACACATTAATGTCTTGTCCAAGATCGATCTAATTGAGAACTATGGAAAGCTAGGTAGTCCCATTCTTTAGTTATCTACCATCCTTTACCTATGAAGCATGCTGGAAAAATACATCGTAGCCCACATTTGCTTTTTGCTTTGCAGGTTTCAACCTCGAGTACTATATGGATGTTCAGGACTTATCATATTTGCAGTACCATCTGGATCAGGATCCTCGTTCAGCTAAGTATAGGTCTGCAAAGTGAATAGCTTCACCTACATATCCACCTTTGAATAGGAGCTATGAATGCCTGAACAATTTTCTGAATCCCTCATGTGGAGCGAGTGTAATTCCTTTTTGGTGCTGCAGAAAGCTAACTAAGGAGCTGTGTGAGGTGGTTGAGGATTACAGCCTTGTCAATTTTTCCACTCTAGACATTCAGGCATGCTAAATTCTTTCTTTCTGTGTCTTCTATGAAGTTTCTTATGATGTAGTTGTTTCAAGTCCCTGGTAAAATGTTATTCCATTTTCAGGACAAAGAAAGTGTAGGAAATCTTGTGAAATTGATAGACAAGAGCAACGGATACATCTTTGCTGGTATTGATGCCAGTGCGGTTGAGTTCAGCAAGATTGCAGTGCGGCAGACTGATTGGGATTATTACAGATATCCTTATCTTTCTTGGTGTTTGTTTTTTTTATTTATCTTGAGTTGGAGACCCATATAAGTGGTAAAATCCCTAAAAGTAAAGCTGATGTTTACCATTCATTTCATTGGGTGTATTTGGGAGAGTGACATTTGCAATAACTTGAACAAACATACTAGTCTGTTTTTTGTCGACACTTCCAATGCATATGAGGAGCACTTCTACTATGCTATATAGCATTGGTGTTTTAATGTACAACTCAAAGTTGTACCATAACATTAAATGTATAAGTTTAGGTTGTACCATAAAGCAATTTGTACCATTATGTTATGGTACAACTTTACAACTTGAAGTTGTACCATCACATAAAGGTACAAGTTCAAGTTGTACAATAAAAGAATTTGTACAAAATGTATAGGTACAATTTGAAGTTGTACCATAACGTAAATGTACAATTTTAAGTTGTACCATAAAGGCAAAAACCTATAGCACCAATACTATATAGCATTGTAAAATTTCTCTGCATATGAGTGCATTTGAAGTTTGGGAGTAGGAACTAGGAAGTATTTGAAAATGCAATCTAAAAAAGTAAGTCTCAAGTGTCTTATTTCTTGCAAATGCATTGAACAAAACAATGTTTTTTTGCAAATATACCTCATACAATAGCATGCAATTGAGACAAATGACATTAGTTTACAAATATTTTGAATCAAACACATTGAATCTGCATTGCTACAAATCCAGCATAGAAGGCTAGCTGCAAGCTCTGTTTTCTCTTGCTAGTTAGTCTATATCGTCCATGACATAATAGTTATGTTAATGGCCTTCAGGAGAGTTGTATTGTAAGTTTTCTCCTTGACTAAGCATTTGCACAGTTGCAGAAGTGCAAGAGAAGTACATGAAAGATGATGAGATAAACTTCGACGAAGATGAAGAAAACAACAGCGAAGAGCCTGGAAAGGTGGCTCGGTAATTACGTAGTCACCTGTATATCTCAGTCCATGGTGGTGGTTGGTGCATCGGTCAAGGTGGTTCATCAGTTTCTTCGATTGACGGATTTTGAACTGCTGATATTATAGTTGGTTATCTTGTTGATAAACCACAGAGGTCTGTCTCTGCTTATCTGCCGCAGAAACCATCAATGGTGATCCGACTTGTATGTAATCATGGCACACTGCGGGAAGCATCTTGTGTCTTGAGCGAAGTTAACATAAATTATTCATCAGTTTGGGGTCATCTAGTTAACTACTGTGACGATCTCTGATCTTTTTGTAACAATGTTGGAACAGTCTCTCCGTATTGACCTGCTGCTATTGGTAGCTTCTTCGAGTTGTGGATCCTCTCTTGTGTACTGTTGATGGAATTGTATAGCCGGATGCGAGTATTAGGAGAACCCAGGATTTCAGACACTCACATTTCGTCTCTTTACAATCCAGCCAGATCTCTCCTTAATTCCTCTGATACCCGAAAAGAAAAGCCTCACAAAATCCTGGAAAGAGCCTATAATTACACTCGCCAGCTGCCCTCTTAATCACTCTGATCCCCTCGAATATTTTGTTTCCTGATCTGCAAATTCCTGAATTGCAGAGCCCCTATTAATATTTCTCCTTGCGCCTCAGTTGCTCACCCAACCCCGTGGATGGAAGCGCCCATGACGACGACAGATCAACGGAAGCTCCAAAAGCCGGGAATCGACATCGACATCGACAGGCTCAGCTCCCTACCGGAAGATGTCCTCGCCCACATCCTCTCTTCCCTGCCGACCAAGTACGCCGTCGGCACTGTAAAACACTCATGGATGCAATCTGACGAATTTTGTTGAATTGAGAAACAAAGTACATATAGGATTTGAGATTGACTCTAACTCTCAGACTGCTCTCCAACGTTCCACTAACCAGGAAACTCGCTAACACTACTAACTACTAAAACTACTTGAGTTGGAAAAGCTCAACAGCTTTGACTCACTGATCGAGGACCAAAATGCAACAAAACAAAAAACAAAGACTAACCCTGCAATAGTGCACAACGCAGTATTGCTTATTTAACTTAGACCAAACCGCGCCGTATCCTCCAGCAGTAAACAACCTTCAAATTGGCGCCTGACTCCTTGAATCCGAGAGCAGAGCGGAATCCTTGTCCAACCAGGACTTCTTCCAACATATCCTCCACTGAACTGAAGCACCTCAGCAGCCAGCTTCAGTTCATCATTCGTGCCCTCTTCACTTGTCTTCTGCTCCAGAAACATCACAAACACCAAGTTCCTCCCTCAGCCTGCAGAATGCCTCCAAGGACAGACCCTTTGTCATTATATCAGCCACTTTATCTTTAGTGCCACAATACCTGAGCTCCACAGTTTCGTCTCTGACCAGTTCCCTTAAGAAATGAAATATGACATCGATGTGCTTGCTTCTTCCATGGAGAACAGGGTTCTTGGACAACTTAATTGTAGAGCTGTTATCACACATGATGACAGTCCCTTTCTCCACACTTGACTTCCATCCAATGTCAGCAAGAATTCGTCTTAGCCATACCCCTTGAGCAGCACAGTATGCAGCTGCCACAAATTCTGCTTCTGTGGTAGACAAAGTGACAACATGATGCTTTTTGTAAGCCTAGGATACTGCCCCTCCTGCAAGAAAGTAAATGTACCCACTGGTGCTCTTCCTATCATCAGAATCTCCTGCATAATCATTGTCTGTGAAGCCCATCAAACAGTCTTCTCCACTTCCTTGTTTGTACCAGATGCCATAGCCCTGAGTTCCTTTCAAGTATCTTAGGACCCTTTTGGCTGCCAGTAGATGTTGCCTCGTGGGAGTCTCCATGTACCTGCTCAAAGAACACACATCAAACATCAAATCTTGTCGTGTGGCTGTGAAGTACAGCAGGTTGCCAATAAGTTGTTTGTACTCAGTAGCATTCACCAAGCAGCCATCTCCAACTTTAGTTAGCTTAGTTCTAAGAGCAATAGGGTTGTGCACAAAGTTACACTCAACCAAATTGAACCTCTTCAGAACCTCTTTTGCATACTTCTGTTGTGAAATGAAAATGCCAGCTTCTCTCTGCATTACTTCTACTCCCAAAAAATACTTCATCTTCCCCAGATTTGTCATTTCAAACTCAGCCTCCATTGATCTTCTGAACTCTTCAACCATTTCAGAGCTTGTACCAGTGTACAATACATCATCTACATAGATGCTAACCAGCAGTGATCCTTTGGTAGTTGTCTTGATGAACAATGTGGCTTCATGCTGGCTTTTCTCGAAACCAGATGCTAGAAAGTAGGTTTCAATGCGACTGTACCAGGCCCTGGGAGCTTTCTTTAAGACATAAATTGCCTTCTTGAGCTTGTAGACTTTAGATTCCTCCCCAGCAACCACAAACCCTTATGGTTGTTCAACATACACATCCTCAGTGAGCTCCCCATTTAGAGATGCACTCTTGACATCAAGCTGCCAGACTGTAAGTCCATGATGTGCAGCAAATGCCAAGAGACATCTAATGGCATCCCACCTAGCCACAGGTGAAATACCTCATTGTAATCCACTCCAAACCTCTGAGCATACCCCTTGACCACCAACCTTGCCCTGTGCTTATCCAAAGAGCCTGTTTCAGTAAACTTGGTTTTGTATATCCATTTCAAATCGATGGGAATAATACCTTCTGGAAGTTCTGTCAGCTCCCAGGTCTGTTTTCTCTCAATGTTGTGCATTTCCAGTTTCATGGCCTCATTCCAGATGTCATCCTTGGTTGTATCCTCAAAGGTTTGAGGATCTTCGGTTGCAGCAGCCATTGCTAACCATTCTGGTTGTACTTCTTCCACACTGTTGCAGTCATAAATGGCCAAATGACTTGGAGGTCTTCTGGATCTGGGACCTAGATAAGTGCTTTTAGGCAATCCCAGCACATCAGTTGAAGCATTATCATCATCTTCATCATTAGCATTTGTCGTAGCTGGTGTGACAGGAGTTTCAGGACTTGGCGGTTCTTCTGTTGTTTCTTCTGTAGGAACTGGAGTGTCCAAAAGCTGAGGACCTTCTTCCCCATCTGAATCAACAAATGGATCTTCACTTCTTTCCCAAACCAGACTTGTCAGAACTGGTGGAGTGGCAGATTTCCACTTCCAACCTTTACTTTCATCAAACACCACATCCCTGCTTACCACAATCTTCCTGGTTTCTGGATCATAGAGCCTGTAAGCCTTGGATTCAGTGGAGATCCCAGAACTGGCATTGAGTACTCTTGTCATCCAGCTTCTTCCTTAGCTTGTCAGATACATGTGCATATGCTACACAGCCAAAAACTCTGAAGTAAGACACTTAAGGAGCTGCACCATACCATAGTTCATGTGGGGTCTTTCCTTGGTTTGCCACTGTAGGACTTCTATTTAGGACATGAGTTGTCCAGTTTACTGCTTCTGGCCAGAATCTTGCAGGTACTTGTGTGTCTTTCAACATGCACCTCACCATGTTCATGACTGTTCTATTCTTTCTCTCAGCCACCCCATTCTGCTGAGGTGTGAGTGCAGCAGTGAGCTGCCTTTTGATCCCAGTTTCAATACATAATGACTGAAACTCACTTAACAGAAACTCTCCTCCCATGTCTGTCCTAAGACACATAATAGACATACCAGTTTCATTTTCTACAGTGACTTTGAACTTCTTAAACCATTCAAGAGCCTCGAACTTAGTAGCCAGATAAAAAACCCACAACTTCCTACTGTAATCATCAATCAGGGTGAATATATACCTTTTACCACATTTTGAGGTTGGGGTGATAGGGCCACATAAATCTGCATGAATCAGTTGCAATTTTTGAGTTGCCCTCCATTGAGTGTGCTTTGGGAAGGCTTGTCTGGTTTGCTTGCCAACCTGACAAGTAGCACAGATTCCAACAGCTCCTTTTAAGTCTGGTAAGCCTGTAACCAGACCCTTCTTTACTTGCATTATCCCTTCTGGATTCAAGTGACCAAATCGCCTGTGCCAGAGACTTAGAGAAGATTCCTTGGTATCATCAGCTTGCAGCCAGTGAGCTTCAACCCTGTTGGATTCATCTTTAAGCAAAAACATTCTGTTTGCTCTCATACTGGTTTCTAGCAAGAAACCCTTGTTTTCCAGGAAAATTTTGCATACATTTCGTTTGACCAGGAACTCCAGGCCCTTCTCTTGTAACTGTCCCATGCTTAGCAAGTTTGTCTTTAAGCCTGGTACAAAGAACACATCACTGATCTGCAGTGAAACTCCTCCCAGTTGCAGCCTCACTTTCCCTTTGCCAGCAACCTCCAGTTTGCTTTCATTTCCCAGCCTCACCTTTCCAGTGACATTGGTGTCCAGATCACCAAACCATCTCTTATCTCCACTCATGTGATTACTGCATCCATAATCTAAAACCCACCAGTTTTCCATGCCTTCCATCTTGGAATCATCCAGAAAGGCCATTAGCAGAACATCATCAGGCAGTTCAGTAGAGTGATTGGAATTGCTACTGTGAGCAGAATAATAAGCCTGCTGATTGCTGTACCATTCAGGGCACTCACTTCGATAGTGTCTCATCTTATGGCATTGAAAGCATTCAACATGCTCCTTATTCCAGCCTCTTCCTCCCCTACCTCGATCTCTTGCTGAAAAACCACCTCTTCCTGCTCCTCTACCTCCTCTTCCTCCAACTTCATATGTCATTCTCAAGGCCTAATCTTCATCAACCAGAGGTTTCTTATGAAACTTCTGTTCATGCACAAGTAGGGAACTCTGGAGAGCATCCACAGAGGAGAGTTCTATGTCTTTGGACTCCTCAATTGAACAAACAACATAGTTAAACTTCTGTGTTAATGTCCTTAGGATTTTCTCAACTATCTTAACATCAGGAATATCTTCACCACAATTCCTCATATCATTTGCCACTACCATTACTCTACTGAAGTAAGTTGTAATGGTCTCACCTTTCTTCATCTCAAGAACCTCAAAAGTTCTTCTCAAACCCTGCAACTGAGCTTTCTGAACACAAGCATTGCCCTGGTACTTAGTCTTCATAGCATCCCACATCTGCTTTGCAGTACCCTTGTTGGTGATGGTCTTCAAGATTGATTTATCAATGGAACTGAATAAGTAGTTTTTGGCTTTAAGATCTTTGAGCCTGAGATCATCAAGGCTTTTGGATTCAACAGCAGTCAGTGGAGTTCCAGGGGTTGGTTCCTGAATGCCATCACTCACTACTCCCCAGTACTCCTTGGATCTCAGCAAGTTCTCCATCAAAAGGCTCCAGTGATAATAGTCTCCATCAAACTTTGGCAACCCAACCTGTGCAAAACCAACATTATCACTCATGATTGCTATGAAAGAACCTATCACCCTGAAAATAGCTTCCTCACTATAATACCCTCGTGTTTCCCAATCCTAGATCTTGCAGATCACTCAAATTTCACTCTTAGAACAAACACTCAGAAAGCTTGAAAGCCTCTCAACACAGCAATGGTTACAGCTTGCAAAGTGCTCTGATACCAAATGTAAAACACTTATGGATGCAATCTAACGAGTCTTATTGAATTGAGAAACAAAGTACATATAGGATTTGAGATTGACTCTAACTCTCAGACAGCTCTCCAACGTTCCACTAACCAGGAAACTGGCTAACACTACTAACTACTCAAACTACTTGAGCTGGAAAAGCTCAACAACTTTGACTCACTGATCGAAAACCAAAATGCAACAAAACAAAAAACAAAGAATGACCCTGCAATAGTGCACAACGCAGTATTGCTTATTTAACTTAGACCAAACGGCGCCGTATCCTCCATCAGTAAACAACCTTCAAATTTGGCGCCTGACTCCTTGAATCCGAGAGTTGTCCAACCAGGACTTCTTCCAACAGGCACCGCCGTCCTTAGCCGGCGGTGGAAGAATCTCTGGACCAAGGTTTCCAATCTCGATCTCTACTATAGCTTGCTCAACCAGCCTCCTGACTTCCACTATAAATTGCTAAAAATCCACTATTATACCAAGGGAAAAGCACCCGCCAATGCGTATCATGCTAAACAGACTAGAGATTTGGCATTCTCCCGCTTCATGGACAGGATTCTCAGCCAACTCCCAAATCTCAATTCCCTGAGACGTTTTCGTCTGCGCTTTTCAGTGGACTACTGCTAGGCGAGTCCAAATTCCTGGCATAAGATTGAGATGGAGCTTGCGTGTGATCTCGAGGAAATCGATATCCATGTCGAACTTCCCTCTCCTATGCGTGAGGTTCCAAAGAGCTTCTACACTTTAAACAATCTCAAAGTTCTGAAGCTCGCCAGCGTTATGATAATGGATGCACAAGGGTCGGTTTTCCTACCAAGAATGAAGACATTGAAGCTTTCGGGAGTCAAGACCATGGAGGGCGAGTCATTTAGCAGACTTATCGATGGTTGCCCTGCTCATCTAGAAGAATGCTGCTGCTTTTCAAGACCGAAGATCACAACATCGTCCCAATTCTTGAAGAGCATGACGATTGTGGGCAACCACGATTTGCAGAACACGGTGCATCCCATCGTTATCCAAGCACCAAATCTTGAGCATCTTCAACTTTGGAACTTCGAGGAGCTGGAAATTGTGGGCAATTCTCCATGGTCAGGGCTTGAATCAGCAAGGCTTGATGTTAGTTATCAGAATCATGCTTCCTTGATTGCACTCCTCGCCCGTATCTCCAATGCAAAGCAAATGTGGTTATCTTCGCAGACTCTGGTAATTATCCAAAACTACTCTTTTTTTTCCTGTTCCCCTTAGATCAATTTGGTTGTCGACAACTGATTTTGTGGTGCTGTTTTTACTTCAGATTTGTTGGGCATTTGCGGAAGTAATGGTAATTTTGGATCAAGACAAAAGAAATATTTGGTGTTTAATCACTCAATTTAGGAATAAACTTAACATAAGTACAACCTTATTAATTTGGCTTATACTTTTACACTCACAAAAGATGGACGAGATACATATGACATACTTGTGCCTTTCTTTCTTTTCTTTCTTATGCCCACACTCTGACACTCTCATTCTGCTTTGCCCACGTTACATACATATATATGCATAAATGAAAGACATGTAATTAAACACAATGATATATTAAATAACAACTGGGATAATAATAGGACTTCTTGCTTGATTATTGTTAACATGCATGTGAGCATTCAAACCTTTGGCCCATGCATTCATGGTCTTGTGTCTTCTTTAACGTGGATCATCCTTGGCTACTCATTTTCATGAGCTAGAAGTAGGTAAAGAACAATCCATGTTCTATCATAAATTCACAAGCATGATTAATCCATAATTGATAATATTGAGGTCCACTATGTGTGATGTTTAGTGATGGTAAGGATTGATTGCAAATTACCATTCAACACCCCCTCTTAATTTGCGATTCGGAGTAGCTCCTTGAACTTTTCGAATTTCTCACGGGTAAACGCCTTTGTCATTATATATGCTGGCTAGTCGTCGGTGTTGATAAATTCCATCATAATTAATCCTTCGTTGACGAGGTCTCGGATGAAATGATGACGCAACTCGATATGCTTCGATCTTGCGTGAAATACTGGATTCTTTGTCATGGCTATGGCCGACATGTTGTCATAGTGAATAATGGTTGGACCATTTTCACATTGCTGCAAATCAGAAATTAATCTTTTAAGCCATATCGCTTCGCATGCTGCATCAGTAGCTGCGATATATTCTGCTTCCGCTGAGGATAATGCCACAGTCTTCTGCTTCTTTGAACTCCAGGAAATGGGTTTTGAACCCAGGCAGAATAGTATCCCGATGTGCTTTTTCGATCATCTAGTGATCCTACCTAGTCACTATCTGTAAATCCAGTCAGCTTGCTTTCTGCTTCTTTCTTGTACATCAGGCCCAATTTCATTGTACCTTGAAGATACCGCAAAATTCTTTTGGCTGCTGCAAAATGAAGTTTGCTAGGTTCATTCATAAATCTTGATATAAGACTTACTGAATGACATATATCCGGCCTGGTATGTGTCAAGTAAATGAGTGACTCGACAAGACTTCTGTACAGCTTTCCATCGACTTTTTCAGCTCCATCATTGCGTTGCAAATTCTCGTTTAACATCATCGGTGTTGAGATTGGTTTGCACGTTGCCATCTGAAATCATTTGAGCATATCTTCGGTGTACTTCTCCTGTGAAATAAATATTTCTCCAGGCGACTGCTTCACTTGGATCCCAAGAAAATACTTCATGAGTCCCAAGTTCGTCATCTGAAATGCTTTCATCATGGTACTTTTGAATTTTTCGATCATATTTTGACTTGTAACTGTGTAAATCAAGTCATCAACATATAAACAAACCATTAGAAAATCATTTCCTTCTTCCTTTTTGATGTAGAGAGATGCTTCACTCGGACTTCTTTGAAATCCGTTTTGCTGAAAATTCGATCAATTCTGCTGTTCCATGCTCTTGGTGCTTGCTTCAGCCCCGTATAAAGCATTTCGAAGACGATAGACTTTGCCTTCTTCTTCTTTTTTCTCATAGCCTAGTGGTTGTTCCACATAGACTTCTTCATCTAGTTCTCCATTTAGAAATGCTGATTTGACATCCAGCTGGTATACTGGTAACTCCAGTTGAGCAGCTAGAGCGAGAACTGTGATTATGGTCTCCATCCTCGCTACTGGTGCATATGTCTCGTGAAAATCAATACCGGGTTGTTGTGAATAGCCCTTTGCCACCAGTCGAGCTTTGTACTTCTGGATAGTACCATCTTCATTGAATTTGATCTTATAGATCCATTTGAGACCTATAACCGGCTTGTTCTGCGGTTGATCAACAAGCTCCCATGTCTTGTTTTTCTCGATCATGGAAATTTCTGCATCCATTGCCTCATTCCAAACTTCTTCTTTGGCTGCTTCTTCAAAGACTTGAGGTTCACAAGAAAAATATGCAACATGACTTGTTTCATAAATTTCTTGTAAAGACCTTGTTTTTAACGGAGATGAATCTGAGTCTGGTACGACGTCTCTATAGTCGTCTTCTTCTGGGCTAGGTGCAGAATTTCTTTCTGGACTTGCAACTGGATCTGGGTTGTTGCTAGGGTCTTCCGGAGTTGCTGGGTCCTCCAGAATTTCATAACTTGGTGGAGATTGAGAAATTGGATTTTCCCAATTCTACTCCGCCATCTCATCAAAGATCACATCTCGGGAAACCAGCACCCCGTTCTTTACTGAGTTGTAAAGACGATAGCCTTTGGATTCATCACTATAGCCGATGAAAATCAACTTCTCTCACTTCTCGTCAAACTTGTCTCTGTTTGGTGTAGAAATATGTGCATAAGTTATTCACCCAAAGACTTTGAGGTGATCCACCTGTGGCCTCCTGTGGTGCCACGCATGTATCGGTGTCTTGTTCCGAACTGCTTTGGTTGGTGATCTGTTGAGGATGTGAATTGTTGTATTGACCGCTTCTGCCCACAAGTTGTTGGGAAGCTTCTTAGCTTTGAGCATACTTCTCGCCATCTCCACAATCGTACGGTTTTTTCGTTCTGCCACGCCATTTTGTTGTGGTGTGTAACGGACCGTCAACTGCCGTTTGATTCCGTTGTTGCGGCAATTCTCCATGAACGGAGTATAAATAAATTCTCCTCCACGATCTGTACGGAGAGTTTTGATTTGATGGCTGATTTCCTTCTCAGCTACGGCTTGGAATTGAAGGAACTTTGGAAAAGCTCTTGACTTTTGCTCCAAAAAGAATACCCACATCATTCTGGTGAAGTTGTCTACAAATAGTAGAAAATATCTTTTGCCGCTGAGTGATTGCGTTCGGGTTGGACTGCATATGTCTGCATGTACCAACTCCAGTGGCGCTTTTGCTCTCCAAGATGTCTTTGGAAATGGTAAACGATGCATTTTGCCATAAATGCATCCTTCACAGATCTTGTCGTCTCTGTTGATCTGGTGAAGTCCCGCCACCATATTTTTCTGCCTCAGCAATTTGAGGCCTCTAAAGTTGAGATGACCGTATTTGAGATGCCATAGGAAGGATTGATCCAGATTTTCACTCTTGAATGCTACTTCACCATTTTGTGACATAGCAAGAGAGAAAATTCTGTTGAAAGTCATCGGGACTTTGGCCACCATGAAATTGTCTGCTTTGTTGATAATCTCGCATATGCCATTATCAAACAATAGCTTGTAATTTTTCAGCATTAGTTGTCCCACGCTAAGTAGATTGAGAGTTAGCTCCGGAACATACAAAACATCTCGAATGAGAGTTTTGTTGCCTTCTTCTGTCCATACAACAACTGTGCCTTTTCCTTCCACTTTTAGCTTCTTCACGTCTCCCAATTTGACTTGAGAGCGGTATTTGTCATCGATGTCAGTGAAGGACTCCAGATCTCCAGTCATGTGGTTACTGCAACCACTATCCACCATCCAGGGAAGCTGTGACTTTTGCTCACCATTCAAGCATGATAAGGCCACCATATTGCTTTCTTCATTTTTGGTCTTGCTTGACTCGCCTTCTTCTTGCTTGTTCTGGAACCAGCAATCTCTCTGGGAGTGGTTTTGAATTCTGCACTTGGTGCACTTGAATCTACAATCTTTTGTTGCTAGCCCGTCTTTTTGCAAATTATGCAACTCGAGCCAGTGTAGCCCGATTTTTGTTGTTGATAATTGTGTCGGTTGTTTCCTCTGTAATTGGATCTTCCTCTTCCTCTTCCTTGTGAGTTTCCCCTCTCTTGCCTTGCTCCGATCTGACATATTTACTTTCCGTCATGCTAAGTTTTGACGAGAAAGCTTGCTCCAATGGCGGTTTGGTGAAGCGGCTCATTCTTTGCTTGTGTGCTACAAGTGAGCCCATCAACTCGCTCATTGGTAGATTTTCCAAATCTTTAGTTTCTTCAATGACAAGAACAATATGCTTGAACTTTGATGACAAACTGCGGAGAATTCTTTCCACAATTTTTATTTCTTCCATGACGTCACCGGTGGCTTAGAATGGTTGACTGTCTCCGCCACACGCGAATATAAGTCTTTGATGGTGTCGGTTTCCTTCATCATCAAGTTGTCGAACCGTCACCATAAACTTTGGCGCCTGATAGAGATTGCCTTTTCAGAACCTTGAAATTGTTCACGCAAGACATCCCAAACTTCTTTGGCCTTTTTGATGCCATAGATTCTCGGGTAAATCGATTTGCTCACTGCTTGTTGAATTATTCTTAAGGCGCTGGCATTTTGCTTGGCATTCTCCTTGTACTCCTTTGTCTGTTTGCCTGCTCGTTTCTTGGAATCTTCATCCTCGTCTTGTGGATCTTTGTAGCCTTCTTAGACGATATCCCACAGATCTTGAGAGATGAAAATAGGCTCCTTCTGGGCACTCCAGTACTCGTACAATTCTCCATCGAAAATGGGAATTTGATTTGATGATGTTGCAAACATGGTGTGTGATGAATTTGTTGCCATGGCTTTTGGAGAAAATTTGTGTAGGCTAGAAAGTAGGGATTTTTGAAAGGATAAAAGGGTATTAGCTCTGATACCAAATTTGTTTGGTATTTGCGGAAGTAATGGTAATTTTGGATCAAGACAAAAGAAACATTTGGTGTTTAATCACTCAATTTAGAAATAAACTTAACATAAGTACAATCTTATTAATTTGGCTTATACTTTTACACTCACAAAAGATGGACGAGATACATATGGCATACTTGTGCCTTTCTTTCTTTTCTTTCTTATGCCCACACTCTGACACTCTCATTCTGCTTTGCCACGTTACATACATATATATGCATAAGTGAAAGACATGTAACTAAACACAATGATATATTAAATAACAAGTGGGATAATAATATGACTTCTTGCTTGATTATTGTAGACATGCATGTGAGCATTCAAACCTTTGGCCCATGCATTCATGGTCTTGTGTCTTCTTCAACGTGGATCATCCTTGGCTACTCATTTTCATGAGCTAGAAGCAGAGAAAGAACAATCCATGTTCCATCATAAATTCACAAGCATGATTAATCCATAATTGATAATATTGAGGTCCACCATGTGTGATGTTTAGTGATGGTAAGGATTGATTGCAAATTACCATTCAACAAGATTCGTCTGTCAAAGGTGATAGACCGATAGTTACACATGTTTTCACCCCTGTTCTTACACCGTTTGAGATGTGGTGTTTCGTGTTTTAGACCGATTTCACGCTAGGTTGTGCTTGTTTGTGATATTTCAGGTCCTGGCAAGTGAATGAAGGTTTAGGGGCGAGCTCGGGGTCGATTGGGTGAAGATCGGGCGCGAGACAAGTCACAAAGGAGGTCACACGGGCTGCCCTGATGTTCACACGGCCGTGTGAAGTAATAGCCTGGCCGTGCGAGTTTTGCCGAGAGCACACACGGGCAGAGCAGAGGATCGACACGGCCGTGCAAGTGGCCGGGTTGGCCGTGCCACATTCTGCGAGAGCAAACACGGGCAAGAGGGGATGTCCACACGGCCGTGCCATTCTGGCCGTGCAAAGAGCCTGGAATTCGAACTAAATGAAACGATGCGTTTTGACTCACACGGGCAACTGGGTGAGCTGCACGGCCGTGCCACCCTGGCCGTGTGAGTCGGGATTTTCTCCATTTAAGCAGAATTTCAGCCACAATTCGGGAGGATTCGAGTTTTTGAGTAAAAGAGCGATTCCTAGAGAGAGAAAGCGACGAACAAGAGTCTCCAAGTGCCCTAGATTGATCTTCAACACCATTGGAGGAGAGTTTGAGCTTGGAGAAGTGCCAATCAACGTCCAGAAGCAGGAATCCATCCTTCGCAGTATGAATTCCGTGTCTGATTCTGCTTTTGCTTTCTTCTCCATGGAGTAGTTCTCCCATTCATCTGGGTATGGAGAACCCTAGATTTGTATGTTAGGCTTTGATTGTATGAACCCAAGTACTGATTCTGTGATTGATTATATTCGATTGAGGTTTTAATGATTGAATGACTTGAATCCTGATCAAATTCCTGTTGTTTCTGCTTTAACCTAGAATGAGAATATCTGCCTAGGTTAATAGAGTATCCTTGATTGAAGGTAGGGAGTTGGTGACTTTAGTCGAGGAGCCAACTCACTATTCTGTACCGGATTTACTCCGGTAGTGGAGGTTTTGTTCTTAGGGCCTCAATCTGTCGACTCCGGTGGAGGTTAGTCGCCCGCTAGAGAGTCAGATTGAGAGGGTCTGAAGACCTTTAGTCGAGACTTCAGGCTGTTTAAGAACCTTCCGCAGTATAACTGTCATAGAAACTGAACTTGGTAATTACAATCCGGCTTAACTGCAGTCTAGGGGGAACCATATCCGGGTGACCTCTTTAACCTGAATACAACCAGTTTACTTGCTTTGTTTGTTTGGTAGTTTAGACTTGCATTCCAGTTTCATTGCTAGATAACAAGAATTCACTGAGTAGTCATCACATCTAGGACCCGGGTTGATAATTAAACCCAAACCCTCTATACTACGCTTTAGGAAGTGGTTTCACTTGGCCAATTCCTGGAGTGACAGTAGAGTCGAGTCAAAAGGTTGTCAATGTTCTTCAACTGCCAGAATTCCCCAAGTTAATACATTTGGACATTGAATTTTCTGGGAGTAGCCGGGCTCTGCACTCGTTGCTCAACTCGGCCTCCAGCCTACAAAGTCTCGTCATTCACATGGTGAGTTTCGTTACTTATCTCTGTCAATCGGTCACTTACATATACTTCGGTCTCTTTGATTCATATTGAACATGTAAAAGAATAAATTGTCTATACCGAGCAGGGGAAGGGGAATAATGCTATGGGAGAAGTCGGAGCCAGTTTGCAGGCCTGAATGTTTGTCATCAAGCCTTGATCAAATCGAGATCCATGATCTCATAGCAGTTCCAGAGGAGAAGAGAATGGTAAGATATTTGCTCAAAGCAGGATCCGTACTGAAGGAGGTGAAGATGAACGCGTATTTGGGTGCTTGTGACATATAATAGAAATACCTTGCATCATTGCTACAACAGCCGAGAGGATCGAGTGTTTGCGAGGCTCTTTTTTTCATTAGGGCGTCGAGTTGCACGTAGATATAGGTAGTGCGGTGGACATCAGATAGGATACAGATGGTGACGACTCCAACGACATCGGCGATGAGGACGAGATTGGACATAGACGAAATGGTTGAGGATGGGTAGTACAAGTTGGGTATCCACGATGAAGATGGTTTGATCATTAGAGTTTGCTATGAATGAGTCTTTGAATAACTTAACGAGTTGGGTTGAATTTCTTTTTTAAATCTTTTTTTTCATATCATGTTATGGGAGGTTTCTTCAGTTTACGAATTTTGAATTTGATATATGGATGGTTCATTATATTACGACCGCTTTGTTGATTTCTCCAACAAGGTAATATAATGTAGTTCTGTTAAATGTTCTTCATAAATTGGGATGAGTTACGGTGACAACCCACTTCTTAGCCATTTGATACGCTCTCTTCTCTCTCTCTTATCTTTTTTCAAATTGATGTTTAAAATTAAACGAAGGGTTTCGAATGAAAAAAAGTTGTCACATAATTACCTTTCCCATTTTCTATATAATTCCCTCTTCATTAAAAAAAAAAACCCCACTCTCCCCTCCCCTCTGCCATCTCTCTTCCCTCCCAATCAATACCCTAGCCACCGCCGTCGTCTCCCTCCATCTCTCCATGCCGCCACCATCGTCTCACCTCCGTCCCTCCATGTCACCGCCGCCGCCACCAGCCGCCTCCGTCTCCACCTCCCGCTGCCTCTGACCATGGCACCACCTCCACCTCCCAGTGCATCCGACAATGGAGCCGCATCCACCTCCTGCTGCCACCGCCCACAACCACCTCCAACACCGCCTCTGCCTCCCACCACCTCCTGTCTTCACGCCACGCCGCAAGGTCATCGCTTCTCCCCTGCCTTCCCCTTTCCTAGCCCTATGATTTTTTTCCGGATCTGGAATTTTCAAGATTCCATATATAGTTTTTTTTTGTGTTATTCTCTAGTGGTACGCTACCACTAGTAGCGGTACCAGTGGTAGTGGTACTGGTACGCTACCACTACTCACTGGTAGCGCTACCAGTGAGTAGTGGTAGCGTACCACTAGTAGCGCTACCAGTGAGTAGTGCTAGCATTACCATTTACCACTAGCCCACTGTCGGAGTGATACTTTTTTGCAGATGGCAGGAGCGAGTCTGATTAAAGGATTTCATCGGAAAAAAGTCTGCCGATCAGAGAAAGTTTGGCGATCGGAGCGGAGAGACTGCTGGAAAAGGACGAGAGATAGAGAGAGATATAGGTGTATAATTGTAGGATTTAATTTTTTTTTAAAAAGCATGTATTTATTATGGATTTTTAATTCTCAAAATTTTAATTAATATAGAAAAAATAATGAATAAATCCGTTTTTTTACATACCCAAATTGTCTTTGGTTGTGAATCTCACAACCCACTTAGGGGAAGTGACTGTATCCAGCCCCTCAGAAATGTCAAGTTCAAGAGCTGAACTGTTTTGTTGCTAGTTGGTTGATCTTGAGAAATTTCCAGATAGACCACTCAAAAACTAAAAAATTCTAAAAATATCACCCATTTTTGAAAATTTCCTAAAATACCACATTTTTCCAAAAATCGCGACCCCTAAGGCAGTTCATATGAGAACTGCAGGGGGTTGCTGCAATTTTTGTTCCTGCTGGCTGAAAACGACCTGGAGTGGCCAGCGGTCTGGAACACACTGTGGCAGCCCCCGCGGTATGGCTATGAAATTTTTTTCCTGAAAATTCAAATGAATTTTTTTTATTCCGCATAATTTTTCGAGATCTTGCAAGCTGCAAACACTTTAGGCGATTTCCTGCCTTCGTCGCGAAAAAAGCCGTTTGTTACCCCCCAACGAGCAATTTTCGATTTCGTCAAACTTTAGAAGATCATAATTTTGTGTTCGCATAACTATTTTTCATGGCGTTCGAGTTCCAGAGCACAAAGTTATGGCATTTCAAAGTTTGGGAAAATTAAAAAATTGCTCGTTCGAGGTAGCTAACGGCGATTTTTCGCGACGAACGCATGACCAAACCTTCCATAGAAGTTTGCGGGATTTACTAGAATCAAAATCTACGGCTACTCCGAGAGGACTTAACTTGCGGAAAATATGCCTATAGTAAGTACCAAGTACAATGGCGAGGAGGTAGTCACTCTTAAAACTATTATGGAGATCTACTCTGCTAGTAGTTTGTTGCTAACTTGGTATGTTATTTTCTTATAATTGGAAATGTACTCAACGTAACTTTTAGTGAACGGCTATTTGCCGCCAACCAAATTGCTATTTGCCGCCAAACAAAAAAAAAAAAAAAAATTGAATTCAAATTTTGAATTTTCCCTCTCTTCCCTTCCTTTCATTCTATAAATTCGGATATCAAGAACATTTGACTCATTCCAACAAAAACTTCTATTGACGAGCCCAGTTCTTCCGTCGTCGGCTAACCTCCCGTCGCCCTCAATCGTCGGAAAACAAGTAAGTTTTCCAGTTTTCTGGCGCGTTTTCCAGTTTTCCGGCGAAAAACACGGTGGGCCGAAAAAAAATTGCGGCCGGAGCGACGTCGGGCTGAAAAAACTTTGCGGCCGGTACGACGGCCGGCCGAAAAATTCTTTCGGCCCGGCGACGCCTCGGCCGCAAATTTTTTTCGGCCGGTCGCCGAACACGCCGGCCAAAAATTTTCTGGCGACGTGTTCGTCGGCCGGCCGAAAAAAATTTGCGGCCGGAACGTCGCCGGGCCGAAAGAATTTTTCGGCCGGACGGCGCACCGGCCGCAAATGTTTTTCGGCCCTACGTCGCTCCGGCCGCAAAATTTTTTAGGCCCGACGTCGCTCCGGCCGCAAATTTTTTTCGGCCCGGCTAGTTTTTGTATTTAATTTAATTTAATATGATAATTAATTAGCAATTAGTGTTAATATTTATTTAAGTTGGTGTATAAATGTTTTTTTTGTAATAGGCGTTTGAAAGTTTAATTACATAGATTAGTTAATGGAATTTTAATTAATTAAGAATTGATTTAATAATTAATGTTAATATTTAGTACATTAGTTAATAAAAAACTAATTAATTTCTGATTAATTAACAATTAATGTTAATAGTACATTAGTTAATAGAAATTTAATTAATTTGTGATTAATTAACAATTAATGTTAATAGTACATTAGTTAATAAAAAATTAATTAATTAGTTCGCATCTAAGTGTGATATTGTTTAAATTTGTAGATAATTAGATATGGATGATGCGGGTGATGCGGGTGGGAATGAGTTGAATAGATTCAATGGTAGGGTTGTTGATGTATCAGCACGAAGGAAGAATAAGGAGAAGAATAAGCGCTCTCGAGATATTGGACATCAGTCACAGGCAAATTTAGGGGAGGATGAGTTAGAGGCTCCTACTGTAGTTGCTCGTTCGGCATCTGATAACGATGTAATTGCACATATTTGCGCCCCTAGTTCTTATCCGTTTGAGGGGCATAGTCGTGTGTTTTGGCCTATTTTACGCCGGATTGTGCTATTTTGTCATGTTTCAGGTCCCAGGTGTCAAAGGGAAGGCTAAGCGCGAGTTTCGGGGCATTCGGAGGTCATTTCGTCAAGCTGGAGCCAAAACACGGGCACACCTAAGGCATTACACGGCCGTGTTCCTGTGGCCGTGCTTTTTATGCCGAGAGCAAATTCGATTTGGCAAATTCAGCTGCAAACACGGGCACCAAAGCACGGCCGTGTTCCACCAAAGCACGGCCGTGTCCACCGCGAAGCACGGCCGTGTTTCCCCCCAACTGCTGGCCGTGTAATTAACCTTGGCCGAGACACGGGCAGACTCAGGCAAAGCACGGCCGTGTCCTCGACCGTGCTTTGGCCACTGATGCTTTTAAGCAGATTTTCAGCCACAAGTCAAGGGGATTCGAGTTTTTGAGAGAGAGAACGATTCCTAGAGAGAGAAAGTGACGAGCAAGAGTTCCCAAGTGCCCTAGATTGATCTTCAACACCATTGGAGGCCAGTTTGAGCTTGGAGAAGTGCCGATCAACATCCAGAAGCAGGAATCCATCCTTCACAGTATGAATTCCGCGTCTGATTCTGCTTTTGCTTTCTTCTCTATGGAGTAGTTCTCCCATTCATCTGGGTATGGAGAACCCTAGATTTGTATGTTAGGCTTTGATTGTATGAACCCAAGTACTGATTCTATGATTGATTATATTCGATTGAGGTTTTAATGATTGAATGACTTGAATCCTGATCAAATTCCTGTTGTTTCTGCTTTAACCTAGAATGAGAATATCTGCCTAGGTTAATAGAGTATCCTTGATTGATGGTAGGGAGTTGGTGACTTTAGTCGAGGAACCAACTCACTATTATGTACCAGATTTACTCCGGTAGTGGAGGTTTCGTTCTTAGGGCCTCAATCTGTCTACTCCGGTGGAGGTTAGTCGCCCGCTAGAGATTCAGATTGAGAGGGTCTGAAGACCTTTAGTCGAGACTTCAGGCTGTTTAAGAACCTTCCGCAGTATAACTTTCATAGAAACTGAACTTGGTAATTACAATCCGGCATAACTGTAGTCTAGGGGGAACCATATCCGGGTGACCTCTTTAACCTGAATACAACCGTTTACTTTCTTATCTGAGTAGCTACGTGTTTAGTCATGTTGAGGCGGAGGATCTGGTGGCGCAGTCAGGTCTCCAGCACCTGATCTACTCTATGTTCCGCAAGATAGCGATTGACGAGGCTTTGATCTCAGCTTTTGTGGAGAGGTGGCAGCCAGACACGAACACCTTCCACTTGCCTTTTGGAGAGATGACGATCCTCCTCCACGATGTTCAGTACTTACTGCAGATTCCTGTTGAGGGACGACTGATGAGTAGGAGTTCTGCGCAGCTTGACCATCCGGAGGCGAGTTTGTGTGCGCTTCTTGGGATGAACTCGGAGTAGCTGAGTAGTCGTTCGGAGGTCCCTGGATATACTAATAGGGGTAAGTGGTACGAGAAGGGTGGTTTTCTTGCAGAGATGGCGTCCAGATACTTGCAGAGCCACGGGACACATGTGACAGAGGCGCAGTCGTACTTGTTGTTGCTGTTGGGGTCCACTTTGTTTGTGGACAAGAGTAGAGACAGGGTTCGGTCGGTGGTGAACCTATTTTTGGACGAGTTGGAGGAGTTAGATCAGTATAGTTGGGCGTCAGGTACACTTGCT